ACACTCGAATAATCGTGTCTCCTGTTCCCAAATTGTTCACTTTTGTTTACGAGCCGAAGGAAAATTAGCGAGAATTTGCAATATTGTAAATGAAATATTTTCTAAACTAATGATTTTATATTCATTTATCGACGTAAGCAGCTTAATATAATTTTATAGGAAATAATAAATAATAATTTTTGTGAACTAAAAATTATACAATTTCATTTACGGGAATATATGTCAATTTCATATGACCTCTATATGTCGATCTACATGAACGTTCGTTACACCGAACTATGACCTCCTTGAAATCGTTCACTTGCAATTTAAACTAAACCATATTTTACATAAACGATAGTTCACCCATAATTTACAAATACGTACTTATCTTATATTACGTAACTGGTAGTTTCCAAATTTAAAATCGGACAGCTTGTCACGAGTCACGAGATACTTTAATTTTCTCTTTGCATTGGAGAAAATTTCGAAATAGCTAAATTATATACGTGTAAAACCGAACAAGAATTGTACTTTGAACGGGGTTCACTCGGGGGCTTGTGTGCAGCTAAGAGCACGTTTGCGTGTTAACTCGTCATCTGTATTTGACTTCATCTTTCAGTGATTCGTCACTTTCTTACATATATATTTATCCGACGACTTTATTATTTAAATTACAGTGTTTCTGAAATTATTAGACTCGGAGGAATCTTCTCACGTTTCTCATAACTTCTTGCAGAAGTGTGACATTATTGTGACTGAACATACCTTTTGTCAATTGGAAATTTGTAATTTCAAAATTTTGTAATGTCAATATTGATCATAGGAACATTTGTTTTCAACAAACTGTATTAACTAAGATTACGCAGTCGATGTAAAAAGTGTTCGTACACCTTTTGAAACGGCATTTTATAATTAGGCTAAGCTATCTAAATTTTGTTGTGGGATGTTAGTAGGATTTTTTGCTAGACAATGGCTAAAAAATTGTTTTCAAAATTTCCAATTGATTGGGATGATAGAAAAATGAAAGAAATGATGATTCTTTAACTTTTTTAGATAGCAATAATTTGTATGCATGTTGAAAATTTCATTGAAATCCCGATTTCTTCGATTGATGGATATTGTATAGATTCACAACTTGTTATTTAATTCGCGAACATAATTTTGATGGAAACTTATTCGATATTTAGCGCCACAAACCTCTCGATTTGTTACGTAGTAATTAACGGTGTGGAAAGTTTACAAATTTTCGTAGAACCTTATAGCACCAAATTGTTAAAGACTATAGAAACGACAAATTTATAAATGATTGATCATAATGGAGTAATAATTCTTTGCAACACAACTTGTTATATAAGTAAATGGTTTTCTATAACTGAACTTATACTTATATCGATTTCGCAATTTATACTTATACTTTCGTCTTAAAAAGACGGTGGTAAATTAACAAATTAATTTAACAAGTTTTTAGTTTAATGTAACAATTTAACAAGTTAATAAGTTTAATAATTTAACAAGTTAAATTAACGATTAACTGCTTCTTAACTTCTCGCGATTAAGATCGCACGTATAATTTACAAAATATGAATATTATTCCTTTCTTCTAAATTTAGGAATGAAAGTATGCGTTCTACCAGGGAGATTATTAAGAATAAAAGAATGCTAATCGTCGCAGCTGTGAAAGAAATCGTAATGCAAGGAAGAACCGAACAATTAAGGAACGAAGGAAGAAACGAGCCCATAATTTCGTAGAGCTAAGCAGTTTAACAGTTCAATTTCAATTCCTCGCGCTTTTCCCACTGGTTACCATCCTCGGACAAACAAGCGAGGATTATACTGCCGCAATTCGCAAGGTGGATCTTAAACACCCGTTGCATGGACAAACAATAACGATCGAAGTTCAGACAATGAAACCGTGCGAACTTCCGGTACCTAATAGAGCCTTCTACGGCGCTAGATCTTACCGATCGTCCCTGCTAATCGAAAGAACCCAGCGGTACCAAGGACGCGAGAAGATACCGGATTCCTCGGCCACGTGAAACGTCGGCCGAGCGGAATTTTATCAGCGTTCCCGAAAAGGGGCTTCGCCACGCCTGTTATCAGAGAAAGAGAGATGGATGGGAGAGAAAGATAGTGTCAGAGAGAACGAGAGTGAGTGAGTGAGAGAGAGAGAGAGAGAGAGAGAGAGAGAGAGAGGAAGATAGAGAAGGAGACAGTTCGATAGGAGGAAAAGAGAGAGATAGATAGATAGATAGATGGATAGATAGAGAGAGAGAGAGAGAGAGAGAGAGAGAGAGAGAGAGAGAGAATTCGTCTTTTTCTTTAGAGAAGCTCGTGGAACGAAGAGAATCGCGAGGCACTGATGGTAGCACGAACAGAGAGAGGATCGCAGAGCGAGAGGAAGAGGCTTTGGAGAGCAAGTGAGGGTGTGAGGGAGAGAAACTCGCTTGGAGTGCTGTGAGTGAGTGACTGAGGAAGCCGGAGGAGTGAGATGGGGACAGACGTTGAAGCTGTTCGCGCGAGTGAGACTACCAGAGGAACGTTGTGGAGAGCTAGAGAGAGAAAGAGAGAGAAAGAGAGAGAGAGAGAGAGAGAGAGGGAAAGCGCGAGAATGAGAGAACGACAGAGAGAGAGAGAGAGAGAGAGAGAGCGCGAGAGAGAGAGAGAGAGAGAGAGAGCGCGAGAGAGAGAGAGAGAGAGAGAGAGCGCGAGAGAGAGAGAGAGAGAGAGAGAGGGAAAGCGCGAGAATGAGAGAACGACAGAGAGAGAGAGAGAGAGAGAGAGAGAGAGAGAGAGGAAGAGCGAAAGAGAGAGGGATAGCGCGAGAGTGAGAACGACAGAGAGGGAGAGAGAGAGAGAGAGAGAGAACGAGAGAGCGGGAGAGAGGGACAAAGAGGGAGAGAGGTGAGGTCCGCCGCAAAATACAAGTTGGTAGGATATCGACCAGCCGGAAGTCTGAGTAGTTGTTGCCATGGAGACGCTCAAGTCAATTTGACCTGGGCCAACAGTCACCGGCATACTGATGCACGATATGCCATCCCATTATTCATATGGTTTTTACACGGTGAAACATATTTCGCGGGCCGATGGTTCAACCAGCCCGCGAACACAGCCTCGAACCAGCAGCCCGCTGCGCCGCCTCCGGTCCGAATCGTATCGGCCACTTCCGGTTCTCCGGCGTCCCTTCTCCGAGCAAGCTTGCGATTAGCACGGTCAGGATTTTTCATCGGCATGCGGAAACCGGTAGCAAACGATTCCTTTCCACGCTTCTAAGAGTTCGTTTGTTGTTACCGCGAGTACGATCGGTACGCGAGATCGCAGGCAGATCGCAGTCTCTGCTATCCCGTTGGACGGCTGCTTTCGATCTGAATATCGAGCGGAAATCGCTCCAGATGCACGTGATTGTTGAACGAGAGAGACGCGGACGAGTAACTGCGCGGTCGCGCCGGTTATTGCGAGCTCGATGGAGGGACGGTATACGTGCATGTACGTACATATATACATATAGTGTATGTCATAGTCCTCGATTAGGCGTTATCGTTGAAATATTGTTTAACTATTCGTCTGCAGTCTTATTGTTGCTAACAAGTTGCACAGCGGGGTCGGTGACAAAGTAGAAATCTAAGTTGGCTGGTTATTGTAACACCAGGATTTAGTAAATTAGTATGCGGAAGTAAAGACGAATACATTTTCGGAAATTGTTTTCTGAACCGTGATAGCATTAGCTCCTAGTTTGGAATAATAATTATTGTAGAGACTCCCTTATACGAACATTTATTTTGACAATAGCCCGGTGTCCAAACGTTCTGTTATCTAATCATTGGATATGACAAAAGCAAACCTTTAGATAAGAGAGCCTCTGTTGTACTTTCGTCGTAATGGAAGTACTATTTAAAATGTTTATTTGATTTTACAAGTATTTTCATATTAACACTTTGTCTGTACGCCAACAATCTCGACAATATCATGTGCGAGTAAAGTAATATATTTCATCAAATTTTGAAATGAAAAAGTTAAGTTGTACCGCATCAGTTACGTTTTTCACATTCACACGTTTCACGGATCTTAATGACATTGGGGAAACAATGAATTAGCGTAAAAATTTAATTTCCATTCAGAGCAAATAATTCCGGCACCCACACATGAGTGATGCGATAGTCAAAGCGTTAAAGAAGATATTATTTGAGATAATTACATACTTGATTTTACATGTATACGAAATATCTCTTTCAGTGATGTAATTTTCAGCAGAAATATTAAAGCGCAAACTTGAAACTAGTTACTAAGTATGAACATTTCTCTCGTTATACGCGTGGAATGAAATTTGAGTATCTCTCTCACACATTTTCGACAATTTTTTACCTGGCGGGTCTTTGGATTCTTTATGTTTATGCATCGTGCCAAAAGTAAGCACAAAATGATGTTATTTCAAACAATTATGTTTAATAAATCTTACAGAAAATGTTACATCAATTCATATTGCTACTTTATTACAGGGTGTTCCACGCAATTGTTTTAGGTCATCACTTCGTTATAATGTATTTACGAAAAAATGCCAAAGGAGAAACGTTTGTAATAAGTTCAATAATAGGTATATATTGCTACTTTATTACAGGGTGGTCCACGCAATATTATTTTAGGTCATAACTCCGTTATAATGTATTTACGAAAAAATGCCAAAGGAGAAATGTTTGTAATAGGTTCAATAATAGGTAAAAATAATAAGTAATAATAGTAATAATAGTGCTCAAGAGCACTTAGTTTTTTGAAGTGCATCAGTGCACGTGTAATTAACAATTGCATCACTTTTCAGAAATGTCTTTATTGAAGAAGATGCTCAAACGCTTGTGGAGCAATTTAACGCTGCTCTAGATCATTTTCCATCGATTTAAAGTGTTCGATTCTTTTCCAACTTACTATTTAGATCGTTTAGAAAACCTCAAGAAGTATATAAAGCTTTGAATACGATCTTGTTAAACTGGTGATCTATATTTCATGAAAACTAATGGACGGAAAAGGTAATTTTTTCGCTGTCGAATTACTATTTTGAACACTAGAATTGATTTATTATTGATAGAAATCGAGTGGTTTTTAGGCATGAAATTTCAGTCTTCCGTCCAAATATAAACGTTGATATTTAAAAAATCTACCACGCAGGAATCGTCTCTTTATTTGCTTCAAGAGGAATTTTATCTGGTGAAAAGGTGAGAGATAATAACCATTATAATCCATCCTACGTGAATGATTAAATTAAAATACCTTGCGCGCGCGAAAAAGAGACAATTTATAGTTATTGTATGCCTACATAAATTGTAATTACGAAATATCGACGATAGAAAAATTGAGCTCTATTTCCATTGAAAATAGTATAACATTTGAAATCTTCACAACGAATCTGACACGTTGCTATAGCGCATAAGGTAACAGTGAAGACTTAAAGTTTCACATGCAGCTAATAATTGCTGAGACGAATGGCGGCGGTCTTAGCATTATTTCTCGGATTCGCGGCAACTAGCCCGGCTCTCAGTTAATCGAGCAGCATGCAAATATATGCGTAGATTCGCGCAAGGATCGAACCCCAACTGAAATAGCACCGGCCCGCGAATACAGCGTGTTTGGATGTATATTGTATATTCGTGTCGGTGCGACGGCGTTTTCGTGAATCAAAATAGCGTTCGTTTTTACGCGAGCCTGACAGCACTTGGTCACGTGCTTCGTTTAATGGAACGCTCTACGAGTTATTTCAAACTTATGTGTCATGCATTCTAGTTGCGTACAAATATAACCGGCATCGACGACGCGCGCGCGTATGCGAATCACTCACACGGGGAACCTCAGCAAAAATTCGATTTTATGGCACTCTGGAAATTACCGGAATAAGAGTTTAACACGTTCACTGTCGTCATTTATGTCAGCGACAGTTCTTGCAGTTATTATATAATATTCCGTTTGATATGTTGACATAAAAATATTCCGCAAAAAAGTAATTCTGTTAATGAAATCGAGAGAAGATTCGTATTTGTCGTATGAAATGATTTCTTTAATCTTTTAGCTGCGGATAAAGTCTAGTGAAAATTGAACGAAACAAATTTTCTTTAAATGATGTCTTGTACACAATGAGTTTCGTTTCGTTTACGTAAAATACAAAATTGTGGTCGTTTCTTGTTGTCGCAGTTACTCAAAAAATTCAGCCTACATCTTTTAAAACTCTTTTAAAACTGGATTAAGTGATTTGAATTTTTTTTAGATAATAGAGGAGCTGGTCTACTAGACGATGACTAAAATACCTTTTCTAAATTTCGCTATTACTTTGCATGACAAAAAAGATAAAAAAAGCTCTCGCTTTTTAACTTCCTTAGCTGAGCCTATAACAAAAAATTTTAAAAATGCCTTTCGCAGAACCCAGTTTATATGCGTGCTGAAAATTTGATTTAACCCAGAGTCGAACTATAAACGTGGAAAGATTTAAAAAACCGCAGATTTCGTCCAGTTTTTGGTCAAAATCGTGATAAAACTGCGATTTTTGCTATCTTTAATTTTTCGTAACTCGTAACAACGTCAACCGATTTTTGACAAGATTTTCAGCATGCATATAAGTTACCGAGATCTACGAGAGGCATTTTTTAAATTTCCGTTATGGGCTCAGATAAAAAAGTTAAGAAAACGAGTTTTTTCATTTCTCTTTTGTCATTCCAAGTAATAGCAGAATTAAAAAAAAGAATTTCGATCATTGTCTAGTAGCCTAGTCTCGCTATCACCTAAAAAAGATTCAAGTCGCTTAGTCCAGTTTTAAATAAATTATTACGTTTTAAAAGGTGTACGCTCAATTTTGTGAGTAACTGTACGTGTGAAGGATAGTAATATATGTATTAATAGGTGCTTTTATAATTATCATTTGATTTACAATTATTTTTTCTACAAAGAAAGTTTACAATAACACGAGACACGCAGATCTATTTCATTTCGTCAATCGAGAACGAAATCCTAATCACACTATGGCTAGATCTGCAGTCAATTTGTGAAGGAGACAGATTACATTTCTTGAAAAATAAAGAAGATATGACATTTGAATGAAGAAGCCGCTTAATGGTAGCGCGTACATTTGTAATCAGATAGTTAATGATACCAACCGGAAGTAGAATTGCCGTTTGTTTATTCTTTTTATACCGCGTTCGAAAAAGTGTACTTTCCGCAGTATTTCTCCCCTGCACAATGGCATTATGGACACCAGCACGGTAGTCGAACGTGTCAATGTACGTTCAAACTCGTGACCTCGATCATCGCACCACCGAAAATCGTTTTACGTATGCAATTCGCCCAAAATGAAATTACACAATAAATTTCAGCACGCCGGTGTCTATTGCGAAAAGCGTTAAATCGCCATTTTTGTTAGCCGCGAGTTATAATCCCTTTGGGGAAGGGATGAGCGAGTGGAGGGAGGGCAGAGCGCGGTTTACAATGGGAGGTTTATTCACCGGTCCGCGCACCGTTAGGAAATTTATCTATCGAATTAATTTAATATAATGAGCATTATAAATTACTTTTGCCAGCTTGACACCTACACGAATTCTGAAAGCTAATTACGCCCGCAACGGGAAATAATGGAAGCCCCTCCGAAAAGCTATTCACCGCAGCCCGCCGCGGTGTTACGCAGTTTGAAAGCCTGGATAAATTAGAATCGACCAAGATGTATCCGTGGCTCGCGTCGCATTAGCGGCGGCTCCTCTCTTTTCGGGATGAGCCGCCGACGCCGACGCGTTTTCCCCGTCGAAAGCGTGGACAGGTGTGCGCACCGATACGGATTCTTTGAACCCGTCCACCCCGATGACCTGATTTACTTTGCGCCGCATCCACAATGTTGATCGAACCGCTCGTTTTTGCTCCCTCTGGCGACCTTCGGGAGGGCTGGAGACTCCGCCGGGAAGGGATGTAAAGTTGTCACTGTTACTCTCGGACCCAGATATAATGGACTCGTAAAATTTTTTTTCGACCGCCCGTAGAAACGTTTCTTACGCCTCGCACGATCCTCCTCAGAAAAGTTCGCGCGGCGAACCGGGTCAGGAATCCAAGAGAATCTCGGGCAAAAAGATATCAGGATTCCCGTGGTTTCTGTGCGGACTCTGTTCTGGGATCGTGAACTGGAAGTGCTGTAAATTACGCTGCAAGACACCCGGAGAATTATTATATATTGGCGCGAGGACATATTGGTTCATATTTAAACAGCACATATTTATTGTATTAACGGTACACAATGTCTGCGCAAATTAAATTATTAATACGTCTAGTGACATGTTTTACGGAGTTTGAGTTTATCCCACATGTTTTTTATAACTCTAACCTTTTGAAAAATAAACCGGGAAATCTAGAGCAAATAAAGAAAGGTTTTCGCAGGATCAACATCAAGTATTTTTTACAGTTTTATTGAAAAATCATATTTTATTGAAAGATCTTTCAATCCTTCAAATATTCGTTGTAAATATTAACGATCACGTCCCACTTTTCAGGTAGAACTGATGAATTTCTTCTGAAAATTCCTATTTGTTTTCCAATGCTTCGATACGTGCGGTGAAGTTGGTAGTTTAAAATTTCAAAATAATGAGAAAATATTTAATTTCAAAATGATTGAATATTTGAAAGAATGAAATTGTACCAAATTAATTTCCACACCCAATAATGTATACGTAAATAAAAATGCATAAAAAATATACTACTAACTATAAGGCAACCCCTTGCACACTACAAGTTTTCTGATTTAATGATATTAATTTGTTCTTAGTAATTTTCCTAATACAATGAAATAACTTTTGCTACCCGCTTGTAGGCTAAGTATAGATATTACTGCGGACGCCCCAAATACTGCGGTATTTTATAAAAGTAATAAAATCTAATATTTTATAGTGTTTAATCTTTTAAAAATGAATCTCATAATTTTTTATATGTTTCAAATTGATAATTTATGATATACAAGTAACAGCAATCACAGTTTTAATTCATCTATTGATTTTTGATATTCGGAAGCTTATGAAAACGTCGGGTCTTATGAAATATTCGTAATGGCAGCTGTGAACGCTGATTCGAAATTAATAATAAACTTATCGATCGGCAATTAATAATAACCCCAACGTTTTAGCGTTATTTTTAGATAAAGTAATCATTACTTTGATAAAAAAAAATCGACGTACACTGTCACTATCATCTATCCTAAAATATTATTTATTAATACAGTATTTGACGCATAATTTTTTACTACGTACGTACATTACTGCGATGTTTTAACGAACTGTGTACCTTAACCTATACAGTACATTCCTCGATGAGCTGATGCGAATAGGTTTGATCATAGAGTACCTATACCTAATTTGTAAAGTGTTACAGTACAGTGTTTGTACCTTTAAAAGAAAATAGGTTATGTCAACCTTGATACGCATATGCATATGGTTTCTTTACATTTCACTTTTTAATGAAATTTGTGCTTTCAGATGTCCAATATTTTGAGAACAGTAAATATTCAAGTTACAGAATAATAGTTCAAGAATACAGAAATGTTCATTCTAATACAGAATAATATAGTTCAAGTTGTCAATTTACTGGCGTAAAAGTTCTTATCTTCTTTGTCAAAGTTCGTCTTCATTAAGAAACCACAGTAATACCTACACTTACTCTATTCATTTATTTTCGTTCCTAAATTTTGATAACAGAAAAAACAAATTTTGTTTCGATACAGAAGAAATGAATAATCTTCATATTTGTAGGTATCAAAAGACGTCATATGACCTCTCCATTGAATAATCTGTTAACATGAACGCAACAAGCCAGTTTTCCAAATGCAATAAATTCTCCCTAATTGTACACAAAAATGGACAATTTGAGAACGGAGCCTTGCGGTTCGAATAATCGTATCCCCTCTTCCCAAATTGTTCACTTTTGTGCGCAATCTGAGCGCCAATTAGGGAGAATACAGTACAACCATATCCCAACGTCGAGCCCCAGAACCTCGGAATTGCTCAATGGGAAACAACGATCACACGGTAGCAGAAATTGATATCACTCGATCCCTTTTCCCATATTTCTCGAGCGTCTTGTGACCGACGCGCCGAACTTTTCGCAAGAGAAAAGTTTGGTCCCTCCTGAGGACGCGTCAACCTTGCTACGAGACCAGACGTTCAAAAACGAAAAATGTATACGAATACCACGGAATTCCGCTATTTTTAGGACAAGCGCGGCATCGAGTTATAAGACTATTTCGAGAAAGAGAGGTGCTTCGACCCTCCGCCGAATCTTGCCAGTCTACACAATCAGTCATCCTCCCTCGCCTCGTCTTCAAAGTTAGCTCCCTTCTTCGCAGCGCGCAGCAACAACTCCTCTATCCCGCGAGTCTGCATAGTTGGAGAAGTAAGGGGTAATCCCCACCCTCATGGTCGGATACTTCCTCGACTTGTTTCCTATGTAAATCTGCCGTTCGTGTTTTCTAGTTTAACGCTCTTTCGCAGAGCAGTTTCCACGGCGGTGTTCTGGATTTCAATTAATTCTTCGGTCTGATTCTTTATAGATCGTTTTTGGGATTCGATGGTTCTTCAAAATCAAGTCCAATTAATTGCCTTCTAATATCGAGCCCGATTCGTTATGAAGATTTCAAACATAGTCTGTTAACTGAAAAGCAACCTTGGAAATTCGCACAAAATGTAACACCAAGAAATTGGATTAATGAAATTGAAGCAAGTTTTAATTTAGAAGAAGAAAGTTTTAATTTGTCACGGAATGTTTAGCATAGAACATGAACATCCTAGTGATATTCGGTTCGTTCGAATATATTACAATAAATATGAATTTCGGAAATTTGGAAAAATTAGTGTCAATAATTTGTGACACCTGTGAATGTGAGTGTGACGTGTTAAATATGGATGTTACACGTTTTATTTAAATTGCAATGAATTTCTACCTTTTTGCTAACGATAGTTAGACGTTACGGAAAATATTAATTTCGTTTCTCTGGTCGGAGGTTATTATTAATAAAGAAAATTTAAACGACTTTGCGGTGAAACGAATTATAGGGCATGGAATTAATAGAACAGTTTCGTTGGTATGTGAAACTCAAAATCCGGTTTTAAATACCGAAATAAGTATGTAAAAATTGACTGTTTGTTCCATTGACAACGTTATTTTCTCGGCATTTTTCATAAATCTGGTTCGACATACAAATCCTCACATGCAAATATTTTGTTAAAATTTTAGTTTCTTAAGAAGACATAACTAAAGGAAATATAAGTTTATAAGTGATATTCTGTACCGACATTTGCATGGATCATACGTGTTCGTGTTTTATTATTGTAGTTTCATCGATATTGGATAAACTGAAGAATTGTACGAATTTTGGTTATTTCAGCTTGTTTCTATTTATTTGTTTCTCTTTTGCATGGAGTTTAAGTTATTTCGTCATATTTTTGTAGTTTCATCAATATCAGATAAATAAAAAATTGGTACGGATTTTGATTATTTCAACTTCTTTCTATTTAGTTATTTGTTTTATTTTTGGATAGAGTATATTTTATTTTGTTGCAACGTTGGCTAAATAATATAATAATGTAATAATATAGGCTAAATAAACCGATAAAGGAAAATGTTGCGATGCATTTCTTGTAAAAATTCGAAAATGGATTTGATCACGTTCTTGGCAATATTCGAACTCAAAAACCAGTTCCCACACAAGTTTGTTTTTACGTAAATCCTAGTTGCCGTAGGTAGGAAAATACAGAAACGAAAAAATGCACACAAAAATGTACGTGCATACTTTTCAACTTGATTTCTTTAAACGAAGGCGTGGATTTGAACAAAAGAATATCTCTTTTTTCATCTTCTTTTTCTTGCTATTAGAAAATACTATTAACATTTAGTATAGTGTAAATTATTAGTGTAATTTCGTCATCATATTTCAAGGGAGAGATTTAACCATTGACGATCATACTGAAAGATTAAACCCTTTGAGAATAGGGTTCTGTTAACCCTAGAACCCTATTATATTGGGGTGGTTATTGTCTTGACAGTTCCTTCTCCCCATTGCAATTTCTAGCTTAATATGCGATTTGAGGTTTTCACGCGATGAAATCATTTTTGGAACTTAATGAGTATTGAGAAATATTGAGGAATGCGTATAAATTAAAACTCGACAGTGAAGACCGAGCCCGTATGGACCTACAGATTAAAAATTCTTATTTGAATATAAAGTTTCCCACATCTAATTAAAATTTTCACACATTATATTAATCCGTTAAGCATTGCGATTTACGATTCATCGCCGGAAGAGTAATCACAGTGACGAGAATTTTTCGGTACTAGTATATGTATATGTAATATAGTGAGAATATATTCGCCATTTCCCATTTGAAGTAACGCAATCAATTATATCCTGAATTATAGATCGATTCAAAAAATGTGTCAAATAAAACTTGTCCTGTTTCGAGGGGGGATATCCTATAATCATTGAAAATTTGACAGAAACATGACATAACCGCACAACGTGTGGATGACTATGGAACGAAGGAGCTAGAAGGAGCATCTAGAAAAAAATGTGACGAAATAAAATTGACAAATGAAATTGTAAATAAACGAAAGCATACTCGGTTACATTTCTGTCAGAAAAGTGCGCCGTTTCGAGAGTAAATTGTCCTTAATTGCTTCAATTTCGAAACGCGGCCATAATTTCAACCTCCGATCACCACTCAAATCATAATGTTTGTGTTGTATATCCGGCAGGACGAAATCGACCACTCAACCCCCTTAAATTGTTCATCGCCGTTACTCTCTCACATTCGAGAAAGTAATTTTCGTTTCGGCTATTCTATCGCCCTTGCCTACCCCTCGCTCCCCCATCTTCGAACGAATGATTACATCATCCACGAGGGGATGCATCATTCTCGCACCCGAGGCCAGGGGTGGATTAACTTGATGCGCAACCCCGTCACCGAAATTCATAATCTGTACAGGCTGGGCGAGAATATTCCTCCCGCAGGCAGCAAATTCTAATATAAAGAACTCGATGCTATCGAGCGCATCCTGTTCCCAATTGCGCCGCGTATCTATTCTATCGGCATAAAACGGCACGAGCGAATAATTCATAGTGGCCGTAATACTTTTAACAGAGTAATCCGTCGACCGTCTGATTTTTCGATTGCGAACACTCGCCTGTAATCTATTAAGCGCAAATAAACAGGATCTGATACGATTTATCAGTCAATAAGCTTGAACGGATCAAATGTAAGCGAAAATTTAAGGAATTTTTCAATGTCGACTGTGTACACTGGTAGTACAGTAATGTATCTCTAATTGACGCTCAGATTGTCCACAAAAATGGACAATTTTGGAAGAGGAGATACGATTGTTCGAGCCTTGTGACTCGTTTTTT